CCCAGGTCTAGGGGATGCAGCCTCTGACCCCTGCCCTCCCAGACCCAATTGGGTCAGGGATCACCAGCACTTAGCACCATGCCAGGCACTTGAATGACTGACTGACCCCTGGCGTCGAAGACTCACTTAGGTTTTGGGAATATAGCCCCTGACACCTGGCTTCTTTTTTCCCCTAGCCCATGGGGACCCACATCCTAATCTGGCTTCTATGCCTACTTTTCTCATACCATAGAAGGTGAGGTAGCCAAAGAGGGCAGCCATGAAATACATCACATACATGACAGCAATGGACAAGTTGGATATGTGTTGCATCTTCTGCTTAGTGGGGCTGTAGGGGAGCAACAGTTGGATTAAGCACCAGAGATTGCTCTCCCCTCTCCCCGCATAGTCAGTGCCCAGGAATGAAGTCTATTCCTGGAGGCTAGAGTTGGGGGTGGGGTCACGAGGAAGGAGCAAGATTGAGCAAAAGACAAATGCAGGTCCTTAGAACAATAACTGTTACTGCCATAGATGTGTCCTGCTTTCAGGTGTATGTTTTATATACGTTGTCTCTAATCCTGTGAGGAAGGTATCATAAGTGATATCATCCCTTTTCATGGGAAAAATAATTGTATGGATGAGGAAACTGATTCAGAGAGGTTGAGTGATTGACCATGGTCACACAGCTAGTAAATATTAGAGGAAGGTTTTGAACTCAGGTCTTTTACTCTAAGTCCAGTTCCTGGTCTGTTATATCTTATCATAGAAGATCAGAACTGGAAGAACCCTTAGAATATGGGACATGAAGGGTCCAAGCCGGAAGGACCCTTGGACATGGGACATGAAGGGTCCAAGCCGGAAGTACCCTTGAATGTGGGACATGAAGGGTCCAAGCTGGAAGGACCCTTGGATATGGAACATAAAGGGTCCAGAGTTGGAAGGACCCTTGGATATGGGACATGAAGGGTCAGAGTTGGAAGGACCCTTGGATATGGAACATGAAGGGTCCAAGCTGGAAGGACCCTTGGATATGGGACATGAAGGGTCTAAGCCAGAAGGACCCTTGGATATGGGACATGAAGGGTCCAAGCCAGAAGCACCCTTGAATGTGGGACATGAAGGGTCCAAGCTGGAAGGACCCTTGGATAGGGAACATAAAGGGTCAGAGTTGGAAGGACCCTTGGATATGGGACATGAAGGGTCAGAGTTGAAAGGACCTTTTTGGATATGGAACATGAAGGGTCAGAGTTGGAAGGACCCTTGGATATGGGACATGAAGGGTCCAAGCTGGAAGGACCCTTGGATATGGAACATAAAGGGTCAGAGTTGGAAGGACCGTTGGATATGGGACATGAAGGGTCCAAACTGGAAGGGCCCTTGGATATGGAACATGAAGGGTCCCAGCTCGAAAGACGCTTGGATATGGAACATGAAGGGTTCAAGTTGGAAGGACCCTTACAGTTCCACTGCTCCAATCCCTTCAATTTACATATGGGGAAATTGAGGCCTAGAGATAAAAAATGGGCTATCCAATCCAGCTATCCTGCTTTTCAGATCAGGGCTTTTCCCATCATATCCTCCTGTCTCTCAAGTGGCACCATGGTATAGATTTTACAAATGAGGAGACTTAGGAGGGAAAGGGATTTGCCCAAGGTCTTACAGCCAATAAGTAAGAGCATGGATTTCTTAATTCTTAGATGAGGGTTATTTCCATTCCTTCCCATTGCCTCTCAGAAGTGTCACAGGGTTACAGATTCAGAGCTAGTAAATCAGAAGTCATTCTAGTTCAACCCCCTCATTTTAGAGATGAGGAAATTGGAACCTACCAAGGTTAAGTGACTTGCCCAGGGTCACTTAGGAAGTAACAAAGCCAGGATTTGACTCTAGGTCTTCTGACCTCAAATCCAGCGTTCTTCCCATTTCACCCTGATCATACTCACTCCCTGAGCTCTGTGTAGATGGGCAGCACCTCTGGGTGGCAGACGAAAGCGAAGGCCATGATTGGGATGGTGTATGCTGTCTGTGGACAATAGGAGGTGCTGTTGGCCCTTAGTGGCATGGACCTTCCCCACCTGCCTGAGGGACCTCCAGCCAGGGCATAATACAAAGCCTCGACCCTGGAGGTGAGGGACCTCAGTGTTCCAAGGGCCTCCCTCCCCACCCTTGAGGGCTGGCACCCACCCACTTGACCGCAGTTGGCCCCAGCACACCTGCGTATTGAGGGTAAAGAAGCTGGGGACACAGCTCTCGTCACTGGAGGCCTGGATGAGGGGGTCCCCACCCGAGGAATCCTTCATGATGATTTGCACATGGCTGGTATTCCCCGTCACATTGGCAGAGAATGTGGACAGTGGACACGGGACCTGGAACTTTTTGTAGATGACCTGGGGGAGTAAGGATGCTACTGAGTACCCAACACAGGCATCGTCAGGCTCCCTATGCTCATGGTCAGCGATGGGGAGTATGGACACCCACACTGCGCTCAGCTGGCAATGACCCTATTGTCTAGTCCCAGGTGCTCAGAATTCACCCAGCGTGACCTAGCTTCCTGCAGAGTTATCTCTCCCCTGATATTGGAGTCTCCCACAGGTTAGGACCGTGTCTCCCCCCTCCCAACTGGGATCCCTGGAGATAGGGGCCATGTTTCCACCTCAGAGGTGGGGGCAGGGGGGGGGGGGCAGGGGGCCTCACTTACTGCAATCAGGAAGAACACCATGCAGCTGAGAGAGAAGCCACTGGAATAGCCCAGGTATCCTAAGGGTAGAGGTGGGAGGGTGAGAACAGAAGGCCTGTCCCCCTGTCCTCACCCCAGCCCCATCCCATTCCTCGAGGGCACCAGGACCACCCGCTTCCCCCCCCCCCCCTGCAGCCAACGTCCCCTCCAGCCCAGCCCGCGCCCCGCCTCTTACCCAGCTGCCTCATCAAAGCCAAGGGCAGGATGATGGTGACTGTGACCAGGATCACCAGGTAGTTCCCATTCATGTACCAATCCCTGGAGGGAAGGGGAAGGAGAGGGCATAGAACAGAAGGTCTCAGAACTGCCTCTGAAGAGGCGTCAGGGATGCCTGGTGTGAAGGGAGAGACATGGTCCTGTCCCCTGGGGCCCCTCGCTTCCCACCTCAGGAGCCCCGGCCCCCCTGACCTTCTCCCTGGAGGCAGCCTCCCCAGTGCACCCCAGCAGCCCAGAATGAGCCCCCTTGCAGGATGTGCGTAGGGGAGAGGTCAAGGCTGGGGACCCTGAGATGGTGAGGGAGCTGGGAAGTCAGGCAAGGGCTAGGGGAGGGCTCAGGTGGCCTGGGAATGAGGATTCGGGAGCAATGAGGGGTATTACTCCTCAGGAGTCTCCTGGAATCCTGACCCTGCTCCAATTTAGCTTTTTGTTCTCCCATTCCCACCCCTTCCCAAGGGCACGTGCCGGTCCGGTCCTCGGCCCTCTGTGGCCGGGACTGGAAGGGAACAGCCTCTGAGGTCCCCTTCCAGGGTCCAGGGGAAGGCTCCTGGCCTGGGCAGGAGCAGGGCCTTAGACTCAGTAGCCAGCAGAGATGCAGAGCCTACATCATTGGGCATAATCTGGGCTATGGGGGGTTTAACCCCAGAGGCCTTAAGTTAAAAATAGCAGGAGCTTAAGAGCTAAACCCTCTCCCTGACCTCGCCCTTTCTTGGGCCAGTCATCCTCCACCTCCCCCCATGAGGGTGGGGGAGTTGCTGTTGGGCCTAGCTCCCACAAGCCTCACCGCACCCCCTCCCCCTCCCCTGCTCGACCCCTGCAGCAAAGGGAACAGAGAGTAGAGACATCTATCCCCGGGCCAAAGGCAGGACCTTCTGGAAACCCTGGGATTCTTGGATGACAGAATCTCCTTCTAGTTACAGCTAGAAGGAGCCTTGGATATCAGGCACTCCAGCCTCCCTCATTGTACATATGGGGAAACTGAGGCCAGAGAGAGGAAAGGGGCTTCACAAGATCACAAAATCAGTGAGCAGAGAGCTGAGTCTCCAACACAGGTCTAAAAATGCTAAATCAAGTCATTTTGCCTCAATATTGCCTTGAAGTCCTCAGCTTTAACTTGCCTTGCCCCACTGAAAGTGGGATAGGAAGGAGAAGAGGAGCTGAGGGTCTAGAGAGGCATGGATAATTTGGTGATTCCTTCTTGAAAGCTGGGCCCAGGGAATACAGAGGGTCAGAGGGGAGAAGCAGGGGAAGGAATCAGCACAAGAAGAGAAAGAGGAGAAACGCAAGGGAGAGAGGGTCAGAGGAGGGGAAAGGGCACAGAGAGGCCATCAGGAGTATTAATAACTAGTACCAAGACCAAATTGTGCTTCCTTAAAGTGACAGGCCCCATGCATGGCACCTGGCTCGGAAAGAAGCCCAGGCCCAGTGAGGGGGAGGGGTGGGGAATTCCTGGCTCGTGGCCCCAGGCCCAGGGGTGTGGGCCTGGGAGCAAATGAGCAGAGCAAACCAAGGGGAGGTCCTGGCCTGGAAATAGTCTGGCCTGGGCTGTCACATCCCCACCTCTTCCTCCTTCCTTTAGAGGGAACCAAGAATCTAGGGCCTCCCTCAACACTACACCCCCTCCCCTTCTGTCAGCCAGGGTCAGACCCCACACTCTGTGCTCTCAAAGACAGGCCATTATCCCTCTCCAATTCTGGACTAGCCCATCTCTCCTCCCCAGTGCAGGCCCATCGCTCCTATGGAAACGGACGATTCCCGGCCCCCTTTCTCCCTTCTCCACTCCCAGAATGTCTCAGTTCTCAGGATAGGCTCATCCCCTGCCCCCACGGCATCCTGCTTTCCCTCTCCACCCCGAGGACCATCCCTTCTGTCCCTCCCCTGGTTCCCTGGTTCTCAGGCTAGGAATAGGAATGACTCTTACGAGGTTTTCTCTGGTAGATTGAGGAAGGTCTGGATGACCAGGGGCACTTCAGATTTCACGATGTACAGGTAACTGGATATGGCTAGGGAAGGAGGTAGAGGGAGCAGTTGGGGGGATGTAGCAGGAGAAGCATCAGCCATGTTCCCTGTTCCTTTCCCAATGGCTCATAGGGATATTAGTGAGAGAGAGAGGGATGATGAGGTGGGAGGGTGGAGAAGGGTGGGGGGTGGGGAAGGGGGGTGTGGCGGAGATGAGCCCAGGCTTCGGCACCATTAGGTTGTCACAGAACCCCAGGGGTGGCCCTAATTTGAATGGGATGACACCCTAGGTGAGCACCCACCCCACCCTACTGGAATCACAGGAGACCATATAAACCAGGCAAGGGAATCAAAGGGACTAGGTATTTATCTAATCTAGGACTTCAGAGATTACCTAACCCAATGCCCCCATTTCACAGACGGTAAAACTGAGACTCAAAGGGGCTTGCCCAAATTCACACTAGGACTTAGTGACTTGTCTACTTTCCATAGGGAAGTGTAACTCAGGAAGATTAAATAATTTGCCTAAAGGGTGTGAGTGCAGCCAGACAAAGGGGTAGCACCTGTTCCCTCACCTCCAATGTTCTGTAGGGTGATAGCTATTGCTGCCATCAGCTTCCCTGGTGTTCCAAAGGCACGATAGCCCAGCTGCTCATAGGCCCGGATACCTGGAGGATGTGAGAGATGGCTTTAGGCAGGGCATCAGAACGGTGAGGTCCGAGCCTTCCAAACTTATACCCGGGCCTGGTACCTGAAGTCTGGGCTTGGGGCCTTGCTACCCGGGGCTATGGTAAATCTAGGAAGGCTTTTTGGAGGTTGTAGAGACTGGCTTTCTGAAGAGTCCTCTTACCTACAATCCCTGAAGACTTGAGCAGTAAGTGGATGGAATAGCTGGAGAGCAGGGCCACACAGGTGAGGAGGAAGCTGGGGGAGAGAGGGGATATTAGTGAGGGAGAGATGTAGCCGTCAGGATGGGAAAGCAGAATACTCATCGTAGCTGACATTTACACAGAGCTTTCAGGTTTGTGAAGCCCATATCATTTGGTCCTCATGCCAATCCTGGAAGGTAGGTGCTATTATTATCCCCATTTTACAGATGAGGAAACTGAGAAAGGCAAAAGTTAAGTGTGTGCCTGTGTCTGAGGTTGGATTTGAACTCAGGTCTTCCTGACTCAAGGTTCAGTGCTCTAACCATTACACCACTTAGCTGTTTCTAATGGAAGAAAAATCCTGGACTGGAAACCAGGAGAACTGAATCTAAGTCTTAGCTCTGCCTCTAACTTCCTATCTGATCTTGGGTGATGGAAATAACCCAGAAAGGAGGCCTGGCATAGTGGATAGAGGGCCAGCATTGGGTTTCAGTCTTGCCTCTGACACATACCTGCCTTGAGACCCTGGGCCAGTCCCTTATAACGTCTCAGTACCCAAGGAAGCTCTCCTAGATCATAAAGGATGGACCGATTGCTGATCTGCACCAATGAAGGGAATTTCCATGCTGGGAATTCCCACACTGGTGAAGTCACGCATGGACCAAAAAAAGCACTCATTTGCATCTCCAGCTACAGAAACAGGTTGCTCACAATTACCCTGTGAGGCAAGGACTGTGGGCATTGGTATTCCCCTTTTACAGATGAGAAAACTGAGGCTCAAAAAAGGAGAAGTGGTTTGCTCAGCATTACTCAGCTAGTGAACGCAGGTTCTAGATTTGATGCTCTTTCCTTTATACGGGGCTGCCTTTCCAAGTCCCTTCCCCTCTCTGAACCTCAGTTTCCTCAACAGTAAACTAAAGAGATTGGACTGCATGACCTCTAGGGTCTGTGTCCGGTGTCTTCTGGACTCTTCCAGCTCAGACACTGTTCTGAGGCTTCTTCCAGCTCTAGCATCTAGCCTAGACCTAACTGAGAGGCAGTGTTCGGTATGAGATCGTTTCACTGTCTTGGGCCCTGCCCAGGCCACCCCTGGAGTACCGTGTTCAAATTTGAGCACCACATTTTATGAAAAAGAAAAGCTGGCGGCTAGGAGGTGCAGTGGATGAGGTACTGGCCCTGGAGTCAAGAGGACCTGAGTTCAAATTTGACCTCAGACAGTTACTAGCTGTGTGACCCTGGGCAAGTCATTTAACCCCAAGTGCAAAAGAAGGAAAGAAAGAAAGGAAGGAAGGAAGAAAGGAAGTGAAAGAGATGAGCTACAGCATGTCTCCAAAACAATGTGAGTGGAGTGTTGAAAAGATTAGAAGGAAGGAAGCAAGGATTTATTAACCCATACTATGAGTCAGGCTTTGTACTAAACACTCTACAAAAATTATCGCATGGGATCCCCACAATGATCCTGGGAAGTAGGAGCTATTATTATCCCCATTTTACAGTTAAGGAAACTGAGGCACATAGAAGTTAAATGACTTGCCCAGGGTCATGCAACCCCTAAGTGTCTGAGGTCAGATTTGAACTTAGGTCTTCTTGATTCCAAGCCTAGCATGGCATATAAATACCAGGAACTAGGGATACTTAGCCAAAGGGGTCATCATAGCCATGGAAGAAGGATTAGATTTGTTCTTGAGGTCAAAGGGCAGAACTTGGAGCAAAGGCTGAAGAGGGGCAGATTCAGGTTTGATGGGAAAGAAAAATTTGCTAGTAGTTAGAGCTTTCCCAAAGTGAAATGGGTTACCTTGGGGGGGGGGGGGTGGGCTTCCTCGCTATTGGAGGCCTGAAAGCAAAAGCTGAATGATGTCATCAAAGGATCCCTGGTCAGGCATGGGTGGCCTTGGATGGTGACCATCCAAGGCCACCCATGCCCCCTCTAAGTTGTTCCATTCTGCAATTCTAAGCCCTTTCATTGGAAGTCCTGTCTTCTGAGAGCCCTTCCAACTCTGGCATGCCGGAACTCTGTGTAGATAGCAGGAGGGTCCTAGCTTGAGACGGGCTTTGGAGAGTGTGGATCTGGGATGTCAGGCTCCCTTGTGTCTTCCCAATCCTTGACAGACAGACTGTCCTGGCCCTAAATCCCATCCGTACCTCTTTCTCCCACGTAGCTGAGAGCCTGGGGAGGTGTGGCATTCACACCCACCCTTGGTGCCCAGGAAAACTCTAGCAAAAAAAAAGCTCCCTCTTTCCTTTGTTTGGGGGGGATGAGAGAGATGGAGAAACGTGTTCCCAAAAGGTCTGCTTAACAATCATCTTTTTTTTAATTATACTATGTTATAGAAATGCTTGTTTTATTCTGTAAATTAAAAATAAAATAGATACAATTTTTTAAATTGGGAGGGGAAAGGAAACTGAGGCAGGTGGCCTAGACAGAACAGAGCCAGGATCATCTGGTGGTGTGCCAGCAAGTCAACATAAGAATCCAGGAAGGAAGCAAGTGGTCCACTTTTAACTGTACGCTGCAATCGTTACTATCCCTTCTACTGTCTTTTCTGGCCTGAAGAAAAACATTGAATGGAGCCCTCACCCATAAACATCTGGGGAGGGCCTGGGAGCAAAGAATATCAGACTCCCTCCTTGAGAGATTCCCCCAAGGGGTATCTGCACAGACACCCAGTCAACAATTCCAAGGAACAGCGAGGCCCAGGACGTTTGCATGAAAACACATTCTCTCTGTCAGATGCATGGGACACACATGTGCACACATACACATACATCAATATCTGCAAACACATGTACACACAACGGATTAAAGCTGATTAAAGCTGAAAGACACAAGGGATGGTCTAGTCCAAAGATCCGTAAGCTCTGTTCCATTGACCCCTTTTTAGAGTCTGTTGAAGCTTATGGACCCCCGTCTCACAACAGTGTTTCTAAGTGCATGAAATAAAATGCTGAGAATTATTAGAAAACCAATTCTATTGAAATAGTTATCAAAACTTTTTTTAAAACCAAATTCATGGCTTAAGGTGAGAAGCCTGATCTAATCTTACAGGCTCAGTGAGATATGATTTGCTTAAGTTTCCATAGCAGAGCCAGGATTTGAACCCAGGTCAGTGGCGTTCAAATGCACATGTACTGTGCGCACAGACACACACATACCTACACCCACATAGAGAGTGATGCAAAGAGATCTTTATAGAGAAAGAGACACAGAGAGATGCACGGCTACAGGCCTGCCCACATATACTCCTGGCCCAGGGAGGCAGCTCAGGTCACCCTGGGGGCCTCAGGAGGTGGCCTGCTTTCCCATCACCTCATATTTTTCACTTCTCCGGTCCTATTTTAGTCTGTTTTTATTTGAGGGTAAAGAAAAAAAAATCCCAAACCTTTTCTGGGAATAAACAGCCCGGCATGGACACAGAGACAGTGTACTGTCTTCCCCCGCCCTGCTGCCTCCCTGCCTAGGATCAGGGCCCAGCTCTGTGTGTGTGTGTGTGTGTGTGTCTATGTGTCTGGTTAGGGGCAGTGGCTGGAGCCGGCATCGGGGTGGGGCTGAGTGAGGCTAGGGCTGTAGCTGTTGCTTATGTTAACATTGGATGAGTCTAGGCTCAGTCAGAAACCCCAGTGCCACCCTGAACTCCCATACCCCGGCCATGGTCCCCTCCCTCCCCTGCCCGTGGTTCAGGCAGATTGTCAGGCCCTGCTCCAGTCAGGGGTCCCAGAAGCTAGGGTCAGACCAGGCCAGGCTAGGTTCCAACGGCAGAGATGCCTGTGGGCTCTGGGTGGAGGGCTGAGGGAAGGGGCCATTTGGGGGCCAGTGTGGAAGACATTGGGACACTCACAGGAAAAGCAGGATGCCAGTGTTGGCCATGGCATATGCCAGCCCCAGGATGCCGCTGCCCATGATGGCATTGCTCAGGTTAAACACAGACATTCCGAATGAAGTCTTCCCTTCAAACTGCAGAAACAGATGGGGAGAGGGAAGGGGGTATTAGGAGTTCTTTTCCCACCCCACTACCCAGACACAACTCCTGAGCCAACATCCCATTCTCCATTTCTTGCCCCACCCAATATCCTGAGATCACTCTCTCAAACCTTTGCTTTCCCTGAAGCCCACCATCCCTCCCAGATCTCTCATTCATGACCCCATTCTCAACCCCCGTTCCTGGGTTTAGTCTCAGCCCCTATCCCTACCCTATCTGGGATCCTTAATCCTCCCTAGGGCCCATATCCACTTATCTGAATACAGTCCCTGCCCCTGCCAGAAACTATCCTCCATGAATCTGTCATGGGGCCCCACCTACCTTCCATCTCTGACTTCCCTGGATGCCCATCCCCGGGGCTATTTCCCATCCCTCCATTCTTGGGTCAAGTTCCCCCAGAGCCTCCATCCCTAGCCCCCAAATCCTCTCATCCCTAATCCACCCCGTCCTGGGCTCACATCTGTGAAGTGTGTCTCTTTGCTGACATTTTGGGGCAGGAATCCCTCTGCTTCCCCATGGCTGGGTCTTCCACCCTCACACCTGTGGACATAAGGAGGAACAGTGACCCCATTCATCCCCCTCTGAGTCAAGAAGAAAACCCCAAGTACAGCTAGGGTAGGGCATGCCTGCCTGGCATCTCTTCCTCTTTCCCTGTCCCATCTTCCCACCACCCCCTTCACAATGGACTCACCTTTCTACTCCTACAGGGGGCAAAGCCCCGGGGCACACTCCTTCCACGTGTTTGCCATTGGGCACCAGTTCCACCATCTCTGTTTGTGTGGGCACCGCTGAGGGGTTCATGGCTGGACTGGGCACAGATGTGGGCAGCAGGGGAGTGAGAACTTTTGGTCCTGATCACGTGCCTTCAAGACAGGTAAAATCTCTAAGGGGAAAGGGGGGGGGCCATCAGGGGAAACCAAGCACCATCAATTCAATTCAACTTAATAAACATTTATTAAGCACCTACTAAGTGCCAGGCACTGTGCTAAGTACTGGGGATATAAGCACGAAGAATAAAACGATCCCTAATGGCAAGCTGCAAAGGGACCTTAGACGCCATCTGGCACAACTCCTTTATTTTGAAGAGGGAACTGATGTCCCAGGACAAGAAATGACTTGCCCAAAGTCAAATGGGCAGTAAAAGTGACAAAGCCAGTGTTCCAGCCAAGACCTCTGACACTGAATACAGTGTTCTTGATGCTAAGTCACCACTAGCTTGTTAGGCCTCTTTTTGTAACCGTAGTTCAAGCTCACCACCTTGCCTCCTCCAAGGCTGGAGTAGAAACGCCCAGCCAGCTGTCCTAGGGTGACCTCAGGGTGAGATCTGACTCCAGTCTACAGCCTTCTTTCCTATTTTCCCCAATACTAGTCCCCTCGATTAACCCTCCCTCACCCCCCATAGCAGCATTTAACCTGACACATCTGAGAAAACGTCCAGGCTCCAGAAGAGGTCTCGGTTCCCAGAAGCCCTGGCCTGAGGGTCCCCTTGCCCCCACCAAATCCCTGACTGCGACTACACTCCCTTCACTCCCCAATCAATCATTTACGGAGCATTTATCAAATGCCTACTATGTGCCAGGCACCGTGGCTGTCCCTCATGCCCTCAGGGCGAGGATGAGACTTGTTTCTCTTGGAACCACTGGATAGAAGTAGGAACAATGGACAGAAAGTGCCAGAGTGGAGATCTCCAGCAGATAGCGGAAAAACTTCCTTCAATCAGAGGTGTCTCGTAGTGGGATGGGCTCCCTGGCACTGGAGGTCTGAGACGTTGCAGATACACCTTAGACAAGATGCCCTTGGAGGCCCCTTCCAGTTCTGAGATGCCGTGATGCTGTGGCTTGGGGAGGGGAGCTGCAGTACCCCATTAGATCCCAGATGGTCAAACACCTGGATACTTGGAGTAAAGTTCTAGGGATCTCTGGGGGGCATGGGCCCCAAGTTAAGGAGACCTGAGGGGGAAAGATCTTCCTGGATTAACTACACTCTCAGTAGGGGATCTTCCTAGATGGGCAAAGTGTTCCAGGAAAACTCCTGGTACACAGTAGGAGCTTAATAAATGCTTGCTTGGTCAACTGATTGAGTGGCTGGGAAGAATCCATCTAGGCTGATGCTTCTGCCTCGCGGTTGGCACAGGGCAGCTTCGGTACCCGTTGTAGACTGGACATGGCATTAGGTCCGGGGGGGGGTGGGAGGTGAGGGTGACCAGGAGAGAATGAGGTCCCGCCAAGAAAGGCCTGGCAGGCAGTTGGGGAGGGCACCCGGAGCCGGGCAGTACTGGCAGCAAGAACAATGGGCCCTCTGTGTACCAGGAGCTGGGCTCTGGGAAACTGTCCCTGGGCTGGCAGAAGCTAGGGCTGGCAGCTTGGTCAGGCCTAGCCTCCAGCCCCATCCCCCTCTCTGGGTTCCTCTGCTCTCTCTGGGAAGGGGGTATCTCTACCTTACGGGGAGAGGGTGGCAGAGAGTGTGGACGTCTGGTTCCTTTCCTGATCTCATGGAAGATGAATGACCATCTCAAATAGAGGGCTCTGTGGGCCCTAGGAGGTCCTGGTCAAATCTGAGTTCTAATGAGGTTCATTCTTTAGTCCTAGAGGTCACCATAGGGTCAGTTCCCCATCCATTTCCCCATCAACTTTTTCTTACTTAGTAGCTGTATGACTATGAGCAAATCATTTAACTTCTCTGGTCCTTGGTTTCCTTATCTGCCAGATGAGGACATTGGACTTGGTCACATCTAAGGCCCTTCCATTTATAAATCCTATGATCCTAATACTTTCATGTTCTTTCTGAGAAGGTAAGCAGAAGGACACATTTGTCCTCATCATATTGGGCACTGCAATGAGACACCTCTACCCACATTGGCTAGGACCCAGTGTCCAAGGCTGTCTCTGCTCCCTCTTCTACTCTTCAGACCCCCAAACAGAAGCTTTGAGTCTCTCTCCCAGATCCCCACAGTCCCTGCTTCCTAACATTCTTTTCTCTCCTAAGGGTCCCAAGGGGCAACATGCCCATCTTCCCTGACCATTAGTGCCAGCCTTTGCCTGGCAGCCTGGAACAGAGGAAGGACAGCTGCCTCCCTTGGCCCCCATTGCCTGGATAACTCTCTGTACCTTTTCCATTGCCAGCCTGGGGCCCCTCAGGGAGCTCCACCCAGACCATGCCCAGAAGGTGTCTGGGCAAAGTGCCCACCCCTTCCCCACTCTTCCAGGCAATGTCAAGCCAGGAGGGCCACTCTAACAGGACATCCTGGACTGGCTCAGCCCCTAGAGGAAGGGAGCCCTGTCCAAAGGGAGGCCAGGGCCATGGGCTGTCACCCAGGGGGACAGGCAATGCCAGGTGCTGTGGGCTGTGCCAATGTCCCCAGGCTAGGATGCAGCCTCTGTGGCCCTCTGAGCTTCCCTTGGCATCAGAAGGCAAGGATCCTGGGTTCTAGTGACCCTTATTCTTCACTGAACACTCCCATCGCCTCTCTTTGAGAATCTCCTAGTGTAACATTCTGAATATCAGGGTTCTAGAACACATGGACCCAGCCCCAAGTCCAAATAATAATAGCTTCCACTCTTACAGTGCTCTAAGTGCTACAAATAGGGAAACCAAGGCCCAGAGAAGTCAAAGTCACACACCTTCTAAATATCAGAGGGGAGATTTGGGAACCAAGTCTTCCCAATGTCAATGCCCACTGTGTCTAAGAGTAGGCAATCTGGTATACGGGAAAGAGTGCTGCACTTTCCAGTCAGTGGGGTAAGACTTGGGTTTGACTCTGAGACTCTGCTTCTCCCATGCCCAAGCTGAGCCTTAAACAATAGGTAGGTGCTGTCCTCCTTCCCCCTGACTTTCCTGCCTGTCCAGCCTCCTGGGACAGGGGAGCAGCAGGGGCTGCAAGGCTCCCTCCCTCCTCCGGCATCCCTTCTGGACCACTGCAGAATCCCTGGGCCAGTGAGGGGAGAGAGAAGGGAGGCTTAGATTCCCAGCCCTCAGACCCAGGGCAGTCTGATCGGTGGGCACCAGTGATTCTGCCCCAGAAGGCTCAGCTCAGAAGCTGGTGAGGGCTCTTGGGGCCACTGGAGAACACTGGGGAACACATCTTCCAGCACGGAAGTGACAAATGACCGGACAGCTGAAGAGGAGACCTTACTTCTTTACTTTCCTGTAGCTTACTCCCCTACTTGGAAGGGGCCCCAAGAATCCACATCCTTAGGTCCCTTCAAAATCTGACCATGAATCCACCTCCTTCCCAACCAACCTTTCTTAAATAAACCTACCTAGTTTTATCTCCTAACACTTATCAACTTAGACCTCTGCTGGTTCTGAGTTTATCTGAATTGCTATGTAACGGTTCTCAGAATCACCTGCTAGTTGAGTGTTGTCTGATCGGCCCCTCCCCAAACTAGACGTGGGAGGGCGGGGAGCTTGATTCAGCCTTAAGCTAGAAGCCTGATGGAAGACCTGTTTAAGACCTGTTTCCCTCTCTGAGACTGGGGGACTACGTGAAGGCAGGGGCCACGCCTCTGCCTCAGACCAGAGACTCTGAGGGCTGGACTGTCCCCCCGCAGATTGGGGGCTCCTAAAAGGCAGGGGACATGTTTCACCTTCAAACTCCTCCCCTTCCCATCTCCCGAACCCAGTTTGTGCCAGGCCAGGTCTGGGCTCTGTCCGTAGCCTGGATTCCCTGAAGAGCTCCCTTGACTAAGGAGTTCCTGAGCCCTGGCATTCCCTGGGTCTCTGAGAGAGAGGAATTCAGGCCCCACCAGGGCTCCTGAGCCCTTGGCCCCCGGGCCTGGGCAGGTTGGGACAGGTCCCCAGGCAGTGTTGATCTGGGCTCCAAACAAAGCTGCTACTTCTCTGCCCTAATACCTAGTCTTAACACATACATTGTGGGCTCCCGACTGTGTTGGGGGTCAGCAGGTCACTGGCTCCAGAGAGGCCATAGCTCAGAGAAGGGGAAAGACTCCTTGAGCGCCATCTCCCAAAACTCACGTTCCCTGCCTACCAGGGCTGGAAACTGTGGCTCCAGCCCACCATACCAAACCCAAGACACCCACTACTCACTTCCAACAAGACCCCCACCACTCACTTCTATCAGAACCCACACGAGTCCGCCCAAGTACCATGGACCTTCAGCTTCCCCTTCCCATTCTGGCCTTCTCTCTCTCTCTCTGTCTCTGTCTCTCTCAGCCCACTGGGCAGAGGCACACCCCCTTATGAAAACTAAGGCATCTGGCATCCTTCACACACTTGACAAAGCACCTTACATATTGTTCTACCCAACCTCAAACCAAGGGGTCTGCCCTCAAGCATAGTCCTGGGTTCTTAGTCAGAAGACCTAGGTTCTATGTACCTTTACGCGAGCCTCTTGAAGCCTCTCCAGGCCTCACTTTACCTACGTGCAAAAGAAGTGAGGTTGAGGGAATCTCTCTTACCGCTCGAACTGCTGTGATTTTATGATCTCAAAGCACCTAACTTTTCCATATTTCATCTTCTCTGCCCCCCCCCCCCCCCCCCGGGGGATTCTTCTCTTCATTCCTTAAGGAGAAACAGAACCTCTCACCCCTCAATCCATCCCCAACCCCTAGAGTTTCTTTCATTCTCAATTAAGAAGCATATTAGCAGGGACTTAGATTAGATTCAAAGAAAAGGTTGTCCTATGTCAGCTGGGGAGGGGGAAGGGTTCTCATCTCCCTCCGTCTCCGATGCTGGCCTAGATGGAGTCATGTCTAAAGGCAGACAACATGACCGAATGAGTTCCCAGGTAGCACACACATTTCCCAGAGGCCCTCAGCAAACTGGAATAAATCCTGGGATTATAGATTTAAAGCTGAAAGCAACCTCAGAAACCATGCAGTCCAGCCCCCTTGTTTTACAGATGAGAAAATTGAGACTCAGAGGAATCAGGCGACTTTCTTACGATCACACAGCTATGTCAAGATCTGAATCCAGGTCTTCCTAACAACATGTACCACTACCACAGGCTGCTTCAAACTATGACGTAAATAAAGTACTGTGCAGGGACCAAAAAAGTAGATAATTTTCCAATTTGGGGGAGGGGGCCTCAAGCTCAGGAAAAGAGGCGATCACAGAATTTGACAGTAGGAAGGATCCTCTCTACCCCAACCCATATCGGCATCAGGAGGGAGCTCAAAACACTCTTCTATATCAGGGATCCTTCCCTTCTTTTGTACCTCCAACTTCCTTAGGGAAGCCCATGGGTCTCTTCTCAGAAGAATGTTTTTCAATGCATAAAATAAAATGAGTAGATTACAAAGGAGACCAATTCTATTAAAATTCAGCTGTTAAAATATTTTTGGAAAACAAGTTCACGGACCCCAGGTTAAGAACCCCTGTTCCAGAGGCATTGGTGGTTCGGGGATGTTTGGCTTGGAAAAGAAGACTGGGCAGGGAGGGGACAAGATATTTGTCTTCAGGTGTTCTAAGGTTTGGCAGGAGGATGGAGGATTAGATCAGTTCTGCTAGGCCTGCGAGGGCAGGACCAGGGGTAATGGGGTGGGTGAAGGGAGATTTCAGCTCAATACTGGGAAAAACCTCCTTATAATGAGAATTGTCCAGAACGGCTGCCCCAGGAAGTTGTTTAGTCATTTCAATCATGTCTGACCCTCCGTGACCTCATTTGGAGTTTTCTTGGCAAACATACTGGACCGGTTCGCCGTTTCCTTCTTCAGCTCATTTTACAGAAGAGGAAACTGAGGCAAAGAGAGTTAAGTGACTTGCTCAGGGCCACAAAGCTAGTAAGTGTCCTAGGCCAGCTTTGAACTCAGGAAGATGAATCATCCTGACTCCAGGCCTAGCACTCTATCTGGGAAGCAGGGAACTCTTTTTCTAAGTCAAAACTGAATGACTCCTTGCCTGGGACTAATGTGCCTGCTTAGGTAAGGTTGGGCTGGATGCCCTCTAAGGGCCCTCCCAGTGTGACATAGAGGGGAAAAAAGCAATGACTCTGAAGTCAGAGAACCTGGGTTCAAATCTTACCTCTGCTACTTACCATCTGTGACATTTTGGGCGAGTTACTTAATCTCTCTGGGCTCAGTTTCCCCCTTTATAAAAATAAGAGAGTTGGATTAGATCACATCTGAAGTCCCTTCCAACTCTGAACCTTCGATAAAAACAACTGCTTTTTAACCTTGATAAGCCTCAGTTTAAAAAACTGTAAAATGGGGATGATACGGCTATCACAAACTAGAGGGGAATGGACTTTGGAGGCCCAGCTAGTCCATTTTACAGATGAGGAGACTGAGGGTGTGGCTAAGGGCGTACAGAAAATCAACAGGTAGGATACGAACCCAGGTCCTTGGACTCCAGAGTCAATGCTCTTCACACAAGATTGTTAGAAAAATGCTGAAGAAATGTGAGCTTTTGTTATTGGGAAGGAGGTTGGACCAGATGACCTCAGAGGTCCTTTCCTACCCTTGATTTGATGAATCAAGTTGGTGAGCCTATGGGAAAATATTAGCAATGGAACATGGCGGATAGGAAAATCAATGGGCAGGGGAAGTGGAATGGACCCACTCGTACACATACACACACTGCACACCCTTGTTTGCTTTGTCCGGGAAGAGATAAAGTCAGGAGCAAATAGGCAGGATGGCAGACAGAGGGGAGGGGGCTGGGTGTGTGTGTGTGTGTGTGTGAGAGAGAGAGAGAGAGAGAGAGACAGAGACAGAGAGAGAGAGAGACAGAGAGGGACAGAGGGAGAGAGCCAGGCAGAGGCAGATCACAGGTGCAATGGGGAGGGCCCCAGGCTGAAGGTATATAGTAAAACAGGGAGTGGAAGAGAGGGAAAAACCAGGCAAAAATGGACCTTTGTGGACAGAGTCCCTCCCTTTCCCCCTCCTTCTGCCCTCCCCTCTGCCAGCTTGCCTGCGTGGGAGCAGGTGAGAATGCGTCAGACCCACCTCAGAAGGGGTGGGGGGTGGCGGGTGGAGGGGGTTGGGTGGGCTGGGGAGGGCATGGATTAGCTAATTAAAGATTGCTAAGCACACTGAAAATCCTCACACCCAAGCTCTGGTTGCATCATCCAGGGTGGGAGGGGCTGTGGGTCTCCAGCAGCCACACAGGCCGGTGAGTGTTCTGGGTATGCATACCTTGGTGTTTGGTTCTGTGTGTCCATCTCTGTGTGCCTCTGTGTTCCCTGCCTGGGCTTTCAGCCATGTGAATGGATATGGCCCCTCCAGGGGAAGCCCTGGAGACACAGAGGCACAGCTTTCAGCAAGCAAGCCCCGGCCTTCTCTGAGCCCCAGGACCTTCCCCTGTTGATTTGGGCCCATCAGGAAAGGGCCAGCAGTAAGAGCTGAGCCCTGCGCCTTCTCCTAGAGAGGGGGTTCTTAACCTGAGGTCTTTGAATTTGTTTTTAGATTTCAATAAAAATACTTCAGAACAGCTGATTTCCTTTGTAATTCTATGTATTTATTTCATGCATTCACAAAATTCTTCTGAACAGGGGCCCATAGGTTTCACTAAACTGCCAAGAGTCCCTGACCCACAAAAAGGATAAGAGCCCTATTCCGAAGAGACCCAGATCTATCCTGGTAATACCTGCCACCATCCTTCCCAGGCCAGCTCCATTTCCTGTCCAGGGTAGCTATTTCCTTTTTCCAGCAGTGGGGATGGGATGCCTTGGGTCATTCACACGTTCTTGGTCCACTTTTAACCAGTGATACTTGTAAGATAGTTAGTTAGAGTCAGGGGTCAGTTTATTGCCTGGCTGCTACCATCCCACAGTACTTAGGTGTCAGTGGTTAAGGTCAGTTTGTTGCCATAATTAGGCCTCAGTGTGTGGCTTGAATCAATGGATAATATCGGAAGGGTCCCTGAATGTGGTAGGATGACCTCTGAAGTGCCTTCTAGTTCTGAGATTCTACAATCCTAAAACTCTACTTTCCAGCCTTTTCTCCCCTTCCTGTCCAGGCATGTCTCCTCAGCATACCCCAAAGATGCCGGACTCATCCCTACCTCCTCATCTTAATTGAGATATCTCTCCCTACCACCTATCTCCCCTCCATTTCTCTGCCTATCCAAATCTTACCTATTATTCAAGGCCTAGCTCAAAGCCATCTCATGGATGAAGTCTCTTCTGAATTCAAAGCTTTCTTATTCCTGTCTTCGGGAGTTCTCCCATGGCAGGAATTTATAGCATATGGACCTTAAAGATATTCTTGTCTGAGCCCATCACCAGAATTTATAAAGTGCCCATTATGCACCAGGCACCTGACAAAAGGTATTCCACTGGAGAAGAAAATGGCAAACCATTCCAATAGCTTGCCAAGAAAACCCCACGAGCAATATGAAAATGCTAAAAGATACAACATTGGGAAGAAACCCTCAGCTCAGAAGGGCCTGGCATGTCACAATGCTCGAGGTCCCAAAGAGTCAGACATAAATGAACCATAATAAGAACAATGTGTTGGCACTGTGCTAAGCACCAAGAAAAGCAAAAAGCAAATAGTGCCTGCCCTTAAGGAATTGACAATCTAATCAGGAAACTGAATCCCAGAGGAGAAGGGACTTTCCCAAAGTCACACAGGTATGAACAAATGGCAGACTTGGAAAATCTAAACCAGGCCCATTGTCTCCAAATTTCATCCATCCCAAAGCCTTGTGGAAACACGTGACGGTCCCCGAGCCCTTATTTAGAAGAAACATGGTAGACTTACTATCAACTACGATGACATCGGCCTTTTCCCTTAACAAAAAAAAAAAAAAGTTTAACCCCAAGAAGGGTGTATGTAGGGGAAATAAATGACTTTTATTGATAGACCAACGTATCAACTAACAATTTGAAGGGGATGATAATACATTCATATAAGTAGACATCCTCAAAGTCAGTCATTAGTTATTTTGTCAAGTGTTGACTATCTGGGCTAAAGGATCCTCTACAGGTGAAATATCTTCAAGGGGACATGATGCCTTAGGTCTTTTTAAGATCTATGGTAGCCACACACACACACACACACACACACACACACACACACAGCCAGACAGGCCCAGATACCTTCCCAAGTCTACCTTCTATGAGCTCACACTGACTCACAGCAGTCTACGCTGGGATCCAGGAGGAAGCCAGCCTAGATCATTCATAGATAATCCACGAGGTAGACACATGAGAACAGACTGTTTGCGAAGGCTTCAAACTGCTGTTTGTTCACACACCCGTACTCTTCAGATACTTTCTTCTTGGCACCCTAGGTGGATTCTCAGACCTTTTCAGTCCAGGTATTTATTACATGCCCTGTTCTGGAACCAGCCCTCAGATCAGGTGCCTAAGTTGGAGGCTGCTCTTTAGGTCTGAACCATCAGGGACAGGTTTTCCCTGAGGGCAACAGGCCCCTTGCCTGGTGGAGTCTGGCGAGACCCTGCCTTGTCAGGAAAGAAGCAAATCTGCCCCTGCATCTCAGAGAAAGGCTTCTCAGGGAATGGGGGGAGAGGCTTTAATTTACCAAAGGTCTTTTTGTATGCAGCATTTTTTTTTTGGAAACATGTGAGGTACAGTTGTCCTGGGAACAGGAGCAGACACAGAGGAAGGAGGTAAGGCTCAAGCCAGGGTTGGGAGGCAGGAAGTCTGCTCAAACTCCAAGTCTGCCCCTAAGTCCCTTTCGTATTCTGCCCTACCTTCTCTTCTCCACACCCAGGACGTCAAGTCTCTCTCCTAAACTCTACTCTTCATTCAACACATGTTTGAAGCATCTGCTGTGGGCAGAGAACTGGGCTCTGTGCTAAGGGAGGTAAAAAGTTCAGAAAAGACATAGTTCCTTCCCTTATGAAGCTTACTTCAAATAGGGGAGAGAGACTCCAGGGTGAAAAGAGTTCGAATTCTTGCCCTAATTCTTGCTAGTTGTATGGCCATGCCAGTATCACTCCTTCAAGTCTGTTTCCTCATTTAATTGTTGTTCAATCGTGTCCGACTTCTTGTGACCCCATTTGGGGTTTTCTTGGCAAAGATACTGGAGTGGTTTGCCATTTCCTTCTCCAGCTCATTTTATAGATGAGGAAACTGAGGCAAACAGGGTTAAGTGATTTGCCCAGTGTCACAGGGCTAGTAAGTGTCTGAGGATATATTTGAACCCAGGAAGTTGAGTCTTCCTGACTCTAGGCCCAGCACTTTATCCACTGTGTCACTCAGCTGCCCTTCATCATCTTCAAAATGGGTATAATGACACCTGCAATTTGGGTTGTTGTGGGGAAGGCACTTTGCAAACCTTCGTGTGCTATATGATGTGAGATGTCGTTATTAGGGCGATAATACAAATAAGCCCATAACTGTCATTTACAACCGTGCATGTGCCTCAGTTTCCTCATGTGGAAAATGGACTGGATGGCCTACCAGGTCCCTTCCAGTCCCAAGACCTATGACCCTGTGATTATCCTCAGAGAGCCTTTGAAAGGCATGAACAATTGTGGCTTACGTTTGGCCAGAGGATTGAGGAAGGCTTCCTGGAGAAGCTGCCATTGGAACTGAGTCTTACAGGACAGGGAAGAATTCAGCAGATGAAAAAGGGAAAGAAAGAAAGGACAGGACAAAGGCCCCAGATATTTTCAGGAGGAGGGAGACAAGCTTAAGAGCGTCATCAGATCATAGATTTACAACTGGAAAGGGACCTTAGAAGTCACGGCGTCCAATCTCCTCATTTTGCAGATGAAGAAACGAGGCAGGATAACAACAAACATTCCTTCCACACCTACTCATGTAGGGCCATGTGCAAGGGGATCTGAAGATGAACGTTAAAAGAGAGCTCCTAATACTAGGCCATTTGTGCTAAGAGCCCTAGGAGGGGCACAGTGAGTTTTGTGATAAGTCAGAGTGGGAACAATCCTTGTGGAGTGGGGTGCGTAGGGTCACAGCTTCGGAGTTGGAAGAGACCTTAGACACCAGACAGTCTAAGCCCCTCTTTTTATGAGGCAAGTGACTTATCCAATGTCACCCATGTGATACACGTCTGCACGAGATTTGAACTCAGGTCCTCCAAATCCAACTTTCTTTCTACTCTAGTATACTAGCTGTTGGGAAAGGTTCCTGTAGGAGATGGGTTTTGAGTAAGAC